CACCCTGGGTTTCTGCCCCTGCCACCTCCCACCCCGTAGTCTCCAGTTTACGTCCTGGCGCCCCCAGTGCTTTCGCCCCCGCCGGGTTCCCTTGGGTTCTTTCCTGCCCCTTCGCCTTCCCGGTGGGCATGCTGCTTTCTGCGCCTCGCTTTCCCTCGCCTTCCTCTTGAGGAGCCTCTTCTGCTCCTGACTGACGGCGTCTCCGGTTCTGACCCAGCCGGTGCCGTGTCCTCCCCAAGTTCTCATTTTTGGCATCCTAGTTTCTCGTTCTCTGCCACTCCCCTCAGCCCCCGTGGACTGTCCCTTCTGCCCTCTAGACCAAGTAGGCAGGACCTCTGGACTGCTCCCACTTTTCTCCGGAAACACCATCCCTCTCCCCGACACTCCTTTTCCTTTCCGTAGTCACCCACCCTCTTGGCTAAGCACCCCCTAGATTTTTCCATCCTTCCGTGTGTCTCCCCCCCCCTTTTGTTTGCACACTCCAAGAGCGTACCATCTTTTCTGACCTTTGCATGCCTTTGGAGTCGGGGGCGTGGGTTTTGACACCGTAGTTTCTCGGTTGTCCCCGTGTTACACCCCGATTTTGAATCGAGTGCCTCCGTCAGCACATCCCCCCTGAGAGCATCCCAGTTCTGGCCCCGTCTTCACTCCTGCACTGTCCTCAAGCTTCTTTTAGTTGGGTTTATGGTAGAGCTCTCCTGGCTCCTACTTCCCCCAAAACTATAAGCCCTCTTTGGGTCCTTGACTTCTCCACTTGTTTAGGGCATGATCATTTCCGTTCTCTCTTCTCTGTCCTCTTGTGATCCCACACTTGGCTTGTTCCTGGTCTTTCTCTCCTCTAGGTTGCTTTCCCTTCCTTCTCTTTTTAAGGCGCCTTTTGCTGCCGCAGCCCACCCTCCTTCCGCTGCTGCAGTCCCTCCCCCTTCATACTCTTCATCCTGACTTCCCCACCACATCCCTTACGACTCTGGCTGCTGCCTCCTCTTGCCATTTCTGCGCACACCTCTTCCACTGCCCTAACCTCGGTGTTACATTTGCGTTCTGGGGCTTTGTATTTGTATTGAAATTCATATAGTGATTGCTGCTGACTTGTGGGTGGTGTATACTCTCATTGTCTCCATTCTCCTCAGCAGTCTTCAGTGCTGTATTTCTCTCTTCTTTCTGAGTCTGTGTTGTACGTTTGTTCACATTTTTGCTTTATCCCTCCATGTTGGGATTTGAAAGACATGAAGTCTTTCTCATTTTTTATTAATGTATTTTAATCGTAATTTCCACAGGCCTCAGTTTCCTTTTGTAAAACAGTAGGTTCGCCCAAGGTTTGCAAAGGGGATAGTGTTTTTAAAATCTGGCCTTATTGGGAAATCCAGTCCTTCTTATTTATCTTGTGCCCCCTGCCCTTGTCCTTGACATTTTTACTCAATGGTATCCACTCGTTCTGTTTCCTCAGGAAATAGTTGCTCACTTAAGCCAGTGTTTGGAGATATTATACTGTTTGTCCTTTCTGTAAATAGATGATTTCTTTCTTCATTAGTGTCCTAAATACTGTTTCCTAGTATTATCTGGCATTATATTTCTAATCTTTTGAGGGGCAAAGCATTCAGATAGAAAATGCAATAATGACCTTTAGATTTCTTGTACCTGGACACCTAATTATTTGATCTCTAAGTCTGTGGCTGATATTTCCTTCTGATAGAAGCCCTTGGTATTGGTATTTTCCTTTTCCTTTGGAAGTTAACTTTGAACTCAGCTATTTATTTATTTTTTGAGTTGTAGTCTGACTCTTGTCATCCAGGCTGGAGTGTGGTGGCACACTCATGGCCATCGCAGCCTTGACCTGCTGGGCTCAGGCGATCCTTCCACCTCAGCCTTCCAAGTAGTTGGAACTACAGACACATGCCACCATGCCCGTGTAGTTTTTGTGATTTATTGTAGAGATGAGGTCTCACCAAGTTGTCCAGGCTGGTCTTGAACCCTCTGGGCTCAGGCAATCCTCTCCCAAAGTGCTAGGATTACCGGCCGAGCCACTGCACCCAGCCTATTTTTAAATTTAAAACTAAAACATTAAAAATTATAAATTTATCATAAAGTTCTTAATTATTTACTCTTTACAGGATCCAAGGGACTAAACTAAAACAAATCTAGGAGACTATAGCTAATGTCTACCTTTGCAGATACACATATCTGTATACATCAATGCACCATACATACACCAACATACATAGTTGGTGGCTTCTTAAGGAACTTTATCTTGGTTTCTACAGAAGAGCCCAGATATAAACTGTAAAGGAGTCCTCAGATGATCCCCTAGGACAGGTGGAAGAACTTGCCCTAGGCTCAGGTTCCGGATTAGGAATCTGGGAAATCTTTGCCTTCTAGAGAAAAAACATTACTTTCTGGCACAAACTTGGTGAGTAGAGAACAGTGTCTCTTGTGGGCAGTGGGAAAGAATCCTTTTTGTCTAGAAGACCTTTCTCTGGAAATTGTAATGATCAGAAATCTTCCTAGCATTGGTTTTTTACCCTTCCAGTTGTATGTGCTTTGATTTCCAAATTCTCTGAAACTTCTCCGGTACTATAATGGAAATAGTGATTGCACAACACAAAGCCAAGCTGGTGATAAATTCTCTGAGATCTCAACTATACAATTTATTTTTCTTTCCTCTCTTCCATAGCCTGCATCTTCTCTTTAGGTTTTCAAATGAGAGAAGGAAATCAGCATCCAAATAGACGTGCTTCTTGAGGGGTATCTCTGCCTGCTACTTGTTGGACCTTGGTTAAATTGATGCTAATTTTGCTAAAGTACTTTTTCGGTAATACTCCATAGAGCTTTTCTTTTTCTCATGAATCATGCAAGTTCTTTAAGTTAACCTCTGTTGTCCAGGAAAGCTTTGCATGTTGGTTAAGTGCCAGGTGGGGTCAGAATTAGGGGTAGGTGGATTATCATTGTGGTGGGAGTCGGGGCTAAAGCAGATATAGTCTGTGTCAAGCCGTAGGTGAATCTCTGGACCTTGATAATTGCTGTTTAAGACTTTCCCCTATTTTTAGATTGTTTTCTCCTATATACAAATTGTTTTCTGACTTTTGTATATGGTAGTTGCTTGGACAACTGATAGAAGTGTAAAAGAACAGAGTAACTTTGGGATTTAAGAGGATATAGCCTTGGACGTTAGTAAGAGCATCAATTTCTTTGTGTTTCTTTTAAAGTCTGTTTACCAACGCTGTGTCCTCATTGAATCTTGGAACAATTGTTAAACTAAATTGGAGCCAGTATGGTTCAGTTTGCCCTTTCCCTTTCCCCAACTGACTAGATTCTAACTGGTTAGGAAAGAGTCATGTTGCAGGGCTGAGTGCTGTAGTATGAACAAGCCCTCTGGGCTCTAAATTTTACTGCAGATGGAAAGTTTTCTTGACTAGCAGTATTAGTTTCCGCCTTGTAATTTTTGCTAGTTTAACATATACTGAGTGTCTTCCCTTTGATGTTTGTATACCTGGAGGCAAATGAGAAAAGAATGCTTTCAACAAATAGAACCAAAATAAATACGTCTTTGCACTAATTATATAGTAGTGAAGTAACATTTGACTTCAGGTTATTTTTCTTAAGGTTAAAGAAGTCCCAAGGCTCTTGACTGATTTTTTTTTTAAGAGATGCCTTTAAGGAGAGTTTTTGTGTGCAGTAGATACAGATATGGGACTGTTTGTATTTTTGAGGGATTAGGTTTGTTAGCTACTTGTTTTGTCTCTGGTATTTGGGTAGTGTGGGCTTTAAGCATGGACCACTAAAGTTGGCTTGCAAGTATTCAAAATCATGATATAGTTTTATCAGAGAGTATATGCTTTTCTCCTTGGTAGCTACCAGATAATATGTAGACCCATCAATTTTCCCTTACTAAAGTTAAGCCATAAGATACATTAAAACAATATATATAAATTAATTTTTTTTAGAGTCAGTTTTTTTTTTTAACTTCATTTTGTGCGAAAGTTTGAAAATCATTGAATAAAAAGAGGTCGGTCCGCAAGAAGTTGTTTTTTTTTTTTTGAGTTGGAGTCTCACTCTGTCACCCAGACTGGAGAGCAGTGGCTGCTCCCAGCCACCGCAGCCTCGACCTGCTGGGCTCCGGCGATCCTTCCACCTCAGCCTTCCAAGTAGCCGGAATCACAGGTGTGCACGACCATGCCTGGCTAATTTTTGATTTATTGTAGAGACAAGGTCTCACCAAGTTGCCCTGGTGGGTCTCAAACCCGCGGGCTCAGGCAATCCTTTCGGCCTCCCAAAGTGCTGGGATTACAGGCTGAGCCACCGAGCCTGGCCTAATAAATATACTCTTTGTTTTTTTGGGGTTTTTTTTTGAGTTGGAGTCTCACTCTGTCACCCAGACTGGGGTGCAGCGGCACGCTCATGGCCACCGCAGCCTTGACCTGCTGGGCTCCGGTGATCCTTCTGCCTCAGCCTTCCAAGGACCTGGAACTACAGGCGCGCGCTGTCACACCCAGGTAGTTTTTGATTTACTGTAGAAACAAGGTCTCGCCAAGTTGCTTGGATGGGTCTCGAACCCACGGGCTCAGGTAATCCACTCACCTTGGCCTCCCAAAGTGCTGGGATGACAGGCTGAGCCACTGAGCCTGGCCGCAAGAAGTATTTTTACAAGTTAAATGTGAGTCTTGCAACATTGACTAAGTACCTTCTCAAGAGCTGCTTTTTCAATTGTAACTGAATGCCATTTGGCTCAGATTTTCCAGGTAGATTTTAGTAATAATGTTTGAAATCATGGTTATTGATCAAAGGAAATTTTTATGGCAGTGGTTCTCAAGCTTGTGCA